AAATTTCCACTTGTGCACAATGGAGACAACATAACTGCTTCCCATCTAACTGCCAATTATCTTGACTGCGGTATGTAAGTACACAAATGCAATCGAAACCGTTTGAAGAATCGTATGTTGATCAGAACGGAACGTGGTTTTTTTCTTAATAGTTTAACTGCTACATGTGTACTATGATATTAATCATTCACCGTAAGTTTGGGAATATGAACTGTTCAGGCATCTGCTACGTACGTATTCATCTGTCAGTTCCCATTGCTGGTCCAGTCGCGTGATGCAGTTGTTCTCATGACAGACATTGACTAATATCCTTCCAATCCGTTTTGTCCGTGAGCCAGCTTGACCTAGTTTTAGGTCATCGTTTAATAGACTGATGTACCTCTTACGATCATTCATTTATTCATTACCATAGCTTCGATCAACAAGCTCTTTTGTGTGTGTGTGTTCTGGTTTCTTGTGTTGGATTACGGGCCCCTAACATAGAGGCACGGTTGAAATTCGGTCCCTAATGGGATCTTATCGCTGAACTGGACAATGTTTAGTGCTCCAATTTGAAATCACCAGGTAGCAGCCACAGGAACAGCTGAGCTGAAGCTCACTCATCCACTGAGATTGTGTGTTTCTCCCAACTGTTCATCAACCTGAGTGGCCCAGTAGAGAGGATCAAGGAAATGGAAATTTCCAATCTGGTCTCTGATCTTTTTATGAATCAGGGAAATGAATGGATGATCGAGAGTTTTAGAGGCACACAAGCGATCCTCTTGGTATCAGCTTCTACAGCTTCTACAAATTAAAGTGAGCATATATGCCGTGGTTTCGCACATGCACATGATTTTGCATGCCACCAAGCCCCTCTTGTCTGTCACTGTCGCGATTTGCAACTGAACTAAGTGATGAGTCAAACGATCTCCGGGGTGGAACAGAGTCCTAATTCAGAAGCTATTTGAAATCAATGCTGTGTAAGTAATAAAATGAAACCGGTCATGCTAAGCTCTTAGTGACCAAGTACATCTTTTTGGGCAAAATACCCTGGTCTAGTCTGTGTCGTTACACACTACGACAAAACCGCAAATTCATTCACTTCTCTCCCCTATTATCACACTGCAATAGTTCTTCCACAGACGTATCCAGTTCGTCGGAATCGCCACAGTCCGCGTCGATCAGTGTGGTTGAACACGCTGGCATACAACCCACAACACAACAAGCCAGTGATTTGGCTAAACTGAATGCGGAAAAAACCAATCAAATGGATTCAATTTATCGTGTCTGGTACGAACTGGAAATGTTCGTGAAACCGGGTCAGTCAGTGAAAAAATAATACGATCTTTGATTTTCTGTTGTTGTTGTTGTTGTTGTTACTGTTGTTGTTTCGAGAGAACAGATTCATTTGTTAAAGAACGTTGGGGAATTTTTCCTCCAGATCTAACCAGATTGTTCACACTTGATTTCTTTCGGAAACATTTTACGCATTTTGAATTTCAAATAGTTCGATCGTTTTCGTTTCACAGATCGATGATCAAGTGTGATGCAAAATACTAGCAATTTATCGATGATGAAAAAAAATCTGACTGGTTTGCATTACGAGGAAATTAGGAAATGAACTCACATGATGTATTGTTTGAAAAGAATGCATACTCCAGCGGAGTTATTCGTGTTACAAGCCCTGAGTTAGTGTAGTAATTCACATAGTCGCGAATCAAGAATCACAATAGAATCAAGAAATCACACCACAATTTCCGGAATAGATGCATTGTAACATTCGGAACACAAGTCCGAAGATGAACAATTGTTTTCGAATGATTCATAATCGTGCCTGTACAAATCATATAAGGGTTTGTTGTTCGTGAGAACACATTTTCACGCTGGATCGAAAGATCATTCGGGATGGGGATAGGGAAGAGGTGGAATAAGCCCTGTGGGTCTGTGTTCGGGTGAGATTGATTGTGATTAGAGTGGGGCCAGGGTAAGTCGAGAGCTTGAACCAGTCCCTTTTTCGAGTACATAGTTCTGGTGCCAACAGGTGAATGCCTATCGCCTCAACGGTGGCTTGTGTGTATGTAAGCGCACTGCTTTGGAGGGGTTGGGGGGCGCACGATAGATTACGTCGAAAGCCGATTCCGGTCTAATTTGATGGCCTGTATCCACTAGATAACTAAGAATGGCACTTCCTATGCTTCCTGTTCCTCCTTGTTTTAACCAACGTGGGCAGTGCTTCTTCATCTGTTGGGATACTGGCCTCTTCGTGCGGTCAATGTACGTTGCATTACAAACGCACCGGAAAGAGTAGATAACCATGGAAGTGGCCAGCGTAGACAGTCTATCTTTGTGACTGGTTCGGATGATCGGGGAGCCTGTGAACACACATGATAATCGAGCTGCGTTGTAGGTCCGCTTCACTGCACGCGTCAGACAGTGTAGATTCATTTGCTCTATTTCTCGCTTGAACGTTATACTTTCTTATTTGGCCAAAGCTATTTTCAGAGTAAAAGTACACACGAGGTCTGAGAAGAAAATTCCGGATGCACAAAAAGTTTTATTTGTTACACAAAAAAATAAGTATTGAATTTTCTCTATGTATTCTTCATCAGCGTTCACGCACAGTTACATGCGCTCAAACCATTTGGCGAAACAGCTCGACCATAGTGAAACGAGTAACCCTTCGACTACAGTTCAATAAAAGCCTCCACCGCAGTTGTTGATGTCCCCTATCTAATCCCATGCCTGCCAAGCTTGAATTGTGCAAACCACTCAGA